GATGATGATGATGATGATGATGATGATGATGATGATGATGATATGATAATACCTTCTGATAGTTCATGAACATGATTTTGAACGGTTCTGTCTTAATGCTGGTGGTGGTGATGATGACGATAAGTTCGATTAAAAATCCCTCAAGTAACATACAACTACACTGGTTTTGCCTTGTGTTTGTTGTTGTCCAGTGTGTGATGGGGTCAGTTGTGTAATGTATTTAGAGTGTCCGGTGCCATAGGCCCGTGTCAATATGTCCAGGCCTTGTACAGGGTCGTCACAGATTAGAAGCCGAGCCTTGGGGACCTCATGACCTCCTCGACGTTAACACAGAGAAGACCTCTGAATACCTGCATCATCCTTCGTGAAAGGATGTATGACTAGTTACAGCTGAAGCATTTAAATTTAATTTCTGGCATTAATTCATCTGTATTACCCGTGTCAAGTATATCAAGTAGATCCAGCTCATCCATTGATTTGAATTTTCAAATATCATATACATCTTCAGGTCATTGCCAAAATTAAAATGTGACCTTTAAGACCTGTTACACTTCAATTATCAGTAGGATATGATAATTTTATAAATGACGATAACAGAGGACCTCAACCGCCTAACAAAATAAGGCACATATTTGAAAATTAGATCTGACCAAAGGTTTCAAACGTTAACAAAACGTGACAGGGCTGGAAACAGTCGCCGAAACACTTCATACTTAAGGTCTAAAACAAACATCAGATCACCTTTGAATAACCATTCTTGTTTGTTTTATTTTTGCCAACATTAAACATGTGCGTGTATTTTATTATGTCCGTCAGTTAATATTGGTGTATATCTTGGTTTGGAGGTGTTACCGATGAAGGCAATGAAGTTGCACACGTTCTTGGAGTGGAGTTTGCGATCTTCATGCCAGGAGATTATGCCTTCTGTATACATGAAAGTACTTCCTAGACAACCAGTTATAGGTACGGTGTGAGAATGGAATACAGTAAACTACGGTTCTAACCAACTCAAAGGGACCACTAGTTTTAGTTCGTAATAACCGTAGTTCGTTATAAGCATATACACAGCATATATACAACAAATTGATGGGACTAAAAAATAGGTTCGTTATATCGGTAAGTTCGTTATAAACGTAGTTCAATGAAGGCAATGACGTTGGACACGTTCTTGTAGTGGAGTTTACGATGTTCACGCCAGGCAGTGCCTTCTGTAAACACGAGAGTACTTTGACAACTAGTTATGGTCACGGTGTGAGTATGGTACATTTCTCTTGTTTTGATGACGGCTGTAACTGGTGACTATATATTACGTTTGACACGTTCTTATTGTCGAGCATACGTTGGTCATGACTGGGATAAGGAGATAAACCTTCTTGTCATGTCTGCAAACATGATGGTACTTCCTGGACAACTAGTTTGGAGTACGGGACCTGAACCGGCCTGAGAGTATTGACCAATGAGGATCATAACCTGACACCTGAGCTTAGATGGTGGCCGTAATTACACCTCTCATGACCTCGTATGTTTGACCAGTGTGGGTCAAGGAGAAGGTGGCCAGTGGTCAATTAAGGTGAAGGCTCGGTTACCTGATGTAGGGCCGTTCCCACGTACTGTGAAGATTTCGCGTAGGTTTCAGCGTAATTATTCATTGTTTAATCAAGGTGACAGCTGATTGTGTGGAAGCGTTACGTGCTCTGTAACAGATGATACACCCGAGCGCATTCCGCATGTCCTGGGAGGGAAGTGATCGGCTCTGGGGTTATGTTTAGCCGCATTTACCTGTTCTACCTGAACGTTTATCAACATTTGGGTGGTAGATTTCATTGAATACACAGGTGTGTACAGAATGACACGCATTATAACAGTAATTGTGCAAGTGATATAAACTTTGTTTTAATGTCAAAGTTTATTTATACATATCGGGGTGAGGTAGGATGATCGGAAAGTAGGGAATATTATTTTACGCTTGTTTTGAAATAATCAGTTACGATGTAAAAGGCCACTATGCTTGTCGTAAGAGACGACTAACGGGATCGGGTGGTCAGGCTCGCTGACTTGGTTGATGTCATCGAATTGCGTGGATCGATGCTCATGATGTCAATCACTGGATTGTCTGGTCCAGACTAGATTATTTACAGACCGCCGTCATATAGCTGGATATTGTTGAGTGCGGTATTAAACAACAAATAAACAGTTATAATGTCGCTAAGTTGGTTTACTCTGAACATAATTTATCTTGCCCCTCTGGTTCTAAGTATTCTATATTCCAAAGTACATAATTGTTAAATTAATTTGTTCTGATCAGTTTTCTGTCTTTGGTTAACAAACCTACTCAATTTAACCATGGCCGATGTTTGATGTTTTTCTTTCCGTTTGAGGTCATGATAGATTGGGTATTTGTCCGGTCGTAATGGCAATCTTCACGTCCAATCATGTCCGTAAAGATTATCAGATTACATTTAGCTACATGATTACCCTCATTGCTTTGTGTGCTTGGGCCAAATATACAGTTACGGCGGTGGAAAGAAAACAAAATATGGATTTAATAATGTCTGAATGGTATTCCATGAGTTGATATTAACAACTACCACGACGAAATATTCTAAATATGTCATTTGATTTATCCATAGAAGTATGTTTTGATCAACGTGCATAATGTCTAAGTGTATAATGTCATGATTTCTCATCTATTAAGTTATCTAAATTTTCAAACCTATATCTAACTGCTTGACGCAAAGTGCTCCTTCGGTAGAATTGAATGAGTTTCTGCAGTGGCGCGTCCTTTTGACCTCCTGTGCCCCCGAATTTGCACCTGCTGTGCCTCAGAGTTTGCACCCTCGGAGCCTCCTTGTGTTTGCACCTGCCGAGAGTTACCTCCCACTATTAACTATTAACCACAACTTGCTGTCCTCGGATGACCTTGAGAGGATGGGTTTGATTTAGCAGTTGCTAAACAGCCTTTAATCAAATAAATCCCCTCAATTTCCCGGTTTCCATGGTATTTCATAAACAAAATGAATCTACAGACGTTTTATATAGTAAAGAGGATGTTGCCCTCTCGAGAATGTAGTGACGGGGGAATAAATATTAATGGATCTGTATCGTATACTAACAGTTTATGGGTATTTTGTTGTTTATTTAGTCCCTTCCATTTCAAGGAATAATCGACTCCTTTGAACATTTAAGAAAACTATAAACGAGTATGGGTTTATGCTAAAAGAAGAAGGTGAATGAGTAATATGCTATTTATAATTTAAAAGGTTTTGGTAAGTTTACAGAGACATATTCTAGTCAGTATATGTAAGTGTGTTAAACCTGAAATTAAATGAAACATTACAAACAAGACTAAACACAAATAGCTGATTGAGATAAAAGTAACATGAATTTCTTTCCTATTGGTCTTGGAGTTGATGTGACGCATATATTTAGCCGCCCGTAGACAATATGGGTCCGTCTGTACAAAGGGAATCATAATGCAATGATAGATCAGTTACAAGATCTTAATTCACATGGTGTCCAACATTTCGCAGCTGAGTTAAACACAGATATAATGACACTCAGCATATACAACAAATATCGAATACCAATACATCGGACATTCGTTGACGGGTCTTTGTGTGGTAGACGCGCTTCCATTATTAATTGCATTAAACGACGCCGATACATTATAGAAGGAGGACGTTGCATAAACAGTAGCTAAAACAAACATTAAACAATAGAATGCCTGGGGCCTCTAAGTGCAATTAGGCAATTAATGTTGATGTTATTTTTAAATACTTTGAACATTTCATGATCAAAGGTAGGAGCGATTAGCGGTGTTATTGTTCCTCGTCACAGCTGTTGCACATCTGGGACGCCCGTAACGACGTAACACCTCAACACCCCCAACATGGCACACAGTCATATTGATACGGTATATAGGTTGTATTGATTTGAAGTATTATTGATATTATATCCAGGTCATATATGATAGTACGCATCGTGTTGTTATTGGGGTATTGGGTCTTATTGCCTGGTTGAGTGTGGCGTTGATAGTGGGATATTGGGTCATATTGCCTGGTTCAGCGTTCGTTCGTTCGGGAGGATATTGGGAGTGAGGCGAGACGCCTGCCAAATAGTTGGGCGATCGATGGCTGGATGTCCCCATGTGCTAATTGGATCAGCAAGTTTTTTGTTTTAGTTCCGCATCCTGTGTAAACTGTGCGGGGGCTGCTGTCGAGTTGAGTCGCCGGGGAAAAACACACACGGGACAGAACGCGGGGGTATCGTAGGTGAAGGAGTCTTGTTTTTTTTCTCCCAAAGTTTCATTATGGCGTCGTTAGGCAATATATTTTGAGAAGCTGATCTACATGGTAGAAGCAACGATGAAGACAGCCACCGGCTTGACGACACAGTGATGCTCTCTTGGAGGATGAAGAATGTGAAAAGGATGTGATGTTTTTTTCCGTTGCTCTTTGACTACGGTTCGGTTTTTCTCGAACATAAGACATTTGCTTCAATGACATGTTCTCAGCTGCGGATGAGTGTGAAATACGTCACTGATTTATGTGTGTCCGAGTCACAAGAAGAGTTCAAGAGGACATCGACTTAGCTGAGAAAGTGCAGGTAGAACGGACTCCCTGCTGTCAATGCTTGCGACAGAATACTATGATTACTTTCCATTGATTGAAGACTGCTAAATGCAACACACGTGAAGTGTTTGTAGATTCGCCTTCAGCGCAGATAAGAGTTTGCCTGGCGGACGTATAGTGGCGTTATTTCCGCCTGGTTACATCTGTCACAAACGAACTATAACGGTTTTCCAGGTGATCGGAGACGTAGGTTATACCAACAGAGAATATACATGACTGTGATCGGGCGCCTTACAGGAGGACAACGCCTCATTGAGCAAACGGGACTTGAAAACAGTCATGACGGATTATGTTCATATATTCCATAAGTCTCCTGAACCATCGGATTTAGCTGAATTGGTTATTTAAGTAGGATTATCGATTTGACGTAATTATATTTTCATCTGATTGCCTGGGGAACAATGGGAGTATTAGCGAGGTAGGTAGGTAGGTGCAGCATTGATCGTGCTTCGGTTGGCAGAGACTTGTCGTGGACTGTTGCAGGCGGTTGTGCTGAATGACGTTATCCCGCAACTTGACTTCTGTGAAGGACGACTTACCATCCATGGACGTTGTGACACGGTACCCCTCTCCTGATCACTCGCTGTTTCGACGTTTCGGTGATTATCGAGTGTTGAGCTGCTACAGTGACGTGTTACCGATAATATCCAAGATCGTTCTGTGGTCACAGGCAGGGTAGCTTCAGATCACCCGGACAGGTATTACTGTTGTGTGCAAGTGTTTTATCAATGGCTGCAGTAGCAAGATACACGGAACCGCGGGCACACAGTCTGGTTGTCAGTGCATTTACTGGATCAGCGTATCTTCCCAGAATGTAACATCGGATAGCGCCACACGTACTTTGAAAGTTTTCTTCCTGCTTCCATCGTTGAAAGTCTTTTATTAAAAAATCAACGACTCTTGTCAAGGCATTCAGCAACCTATAAACACTCCGCCATTGGCGTCCCACCGGACTCTGCAGCTGCAGCATGGACGTCATGGAGTACGTGGACGCTCGCGACGACGACGAGTACCTCGCTGCGCTGGCTAATATGGGGGATCTGAGCGACATCGACGACGACATCCGTCCATCAGCCTGGAGCCCTTCCTTCAGCGAATGTTCTGACCACACTTATGCTACGGTAGGTCTCACATCCTTGCCCAACAGGCGAAAAAATGTCGACATAACGCCTGACGTGAATGCTGTTACTCTTAATATATGTTCGCGTACTGCTCGCGCACTGTTCCTGTACGGTTCATGTAAAATTCGCGGAGTGTTCGTATAATGTTCGCGTACATTTCATGTACTGCTTACGAACAATTCTGGTATTGTTCGTCTACACTTTGCGTATTGTTCATGAATTGATCGCGTATTTTTGTGTTTTGTTCGCGTACTCTTCGGCCATCAAATACATAATTATCCATACATTCAAAATTAAACTTGCTAATTTGCGGATACCAAATCAGCTTAAATCGTTGACGACTAAGTGCTATATTTGTTATTAATCAGTACTTTATATCACATGCATATTTTATCCACACTGTGAGCGTGCACGTGTAGTACTATTGTTACAGAATTAATCCTTCTCACAAAGACTGTTATCGGGACAAACAAATTCCCATCACATTTCAAATAACGCCCCAATACTCCGAGAGCTGGGCAGTAATGAAATCACAAATGCACATCAAATATCTGCGATCAAATCTGCAATTTAATTAGATTGGCATGTCTGACCCTGCGGCTCACAATGCGATTGGGCCATTAACTGCACACCAAGGGGAGATAATCCTGTTGGTGAGAGGGGAAAGGATTAGCCCTCGGGTAAGAAAAAGCTTCCCCCGAGGCGGGATTGTTTCAGGTCAGGGAATTTCAGGTCACACAGTTAGAGGTTTAATTACTGTATAGTAAAGCCACATGTGAGATCCCACTTACCAGTGCCTCAATCACAACAGAAAGCCACTAATGTGATATGCCGACTACATAAATGTGAACCGTGAAGATCCGGGTTAGAACTGGGCTTCATCAACCCATGCTTGCCGGTTGAGGCGACTAACGGGATTGGGTGCACGTGGTCAGCCTCACTGACTTGGTTGATGCATGTCGTATCCCAATTGCGTGGATCGAAACATACCAAATGGTCCCGTGTTTGTTGAAGAGAACGCTTGACTTGCCTTTGCATGTGTTTGTGACGGGTGCCACCGGTAGGCAGGGTACGCGCAGCAAGGGTTAGACAAAACCACTCGTCTGTTAGTACGAGACTAGTGACAGACCAGAGGGACTAATTGTTTCCTACTAAAATCTAGATATTTTGCATTAAACCACCAATCCGAAATGAACTCCGGACTAGTTGGATATATACGATGGTGTCTACATCTGTCACTTTTTCGCGAGCACCCGGTACCATCAGTATTTGATAGTTATTCACAAACACATGATCTAAATATTGTCGGAGTTGTACAATGGACTCTTCTTTCAGCGGAGATGTCGCACGATTATGGAAAGGGTTTTCTGCTGATATTTACACCTATCGCCCAAAGGCGGAATGTCCGGATAAGCGGGATCCGGATAAACGAGGTTTCGACGTACAGGGTCTTTGTTTCGTGAAGTATTAATCTAATATCTCGATCTCTCCCTGCTGTTCCGAACATCCAAAGATTGGACATTCATTAAAGTCATATTTGCGTCCCAATCACAGCTTCTTACAAATGTACGACTGCTCATTATCGGACCATGAATCAATACAGGCGAGGAGATAAACACACACAAGATGGCTCCCCCTTGCTTCGCACAATGACAGATGATTCTGTGTGATGCAGACGGACGGTGTCCCAGCTGCTGTTGGCGAGATCGATCCCATCTAGATGAGCCCCATTAGGTTGGGTGGAGCTTGTATTGGATTCTTTATTAACACACCCATGACTTTCTGAAGTTCGTTTACATCATTTGGACGTCGTGTGTGAGACTCACGTTCTTTGTTACAACCAAAGCAGCTGGGTGTGAGATAGATGGGCGGAAGGGGACCTAAGTGTGGTTCAGGGACGGTGGGACAGACTGGTATGTAGCGTTTACATCCCCAGGATGTATGTTTTGTGTTTTTTTGTTTTTGTTTAGTTTGTTGTTTAACGCCGCACTCAGCAATATTCCAGCTATATGACGGCGGTCTGTAAAGTAATCGAATCTGGACCAGACAATCAAGTGATTGACATCATGAGCATCGATCCACGCAATTGGAATCGATGACATGTATCAACCAAGTCAGCAACCCTGATCACCCGATCCCGTTAGTCGCCTTTTACGACAAGCATAGTCGCCTTTTACGGCAAGTATGGGTTGCTGAAGACCTATTCTACCCCGGAATCTTCACGGGTCGTATGTTTTGTGAGAGCCCTTTGTATCTATGTAGTTGTCTTGTCGTGATGGAGCAAGACTACAACGACATTCATGAAGACACGTTAAACGTTAAGTAGGAGTATTTGTTCTGTGGCTTCTTAATATTTCCAATATCTGGATATACAGGATTATATTTCGAAATATTGCCATGATAGAACAGCCAAAATGAATAAGCCTTGATGGATACAGTATGTGATATGTTTTGTTTGTTTTTGTTTTTGTATAACGCTGCACCCAGCTGTATGGCGGTCTGTAAATAATCGAGTCTGGACCAGACAATCAAGTGGTCGATATCATGAGCATCGATCCACGCAATTGGGATACGATGACATGCATCAACAAAATCTGACTACTGTAATACGTATTAATCTGTTTTATTTGAACTTAATGTGTGAATAATCACTTAACACACGTTTTTGTGAGAATCCTCTTTAATAGGTTAAAATACGTAAAAATATGTTTTGGTAAGCAGTACATAAGGTACTTCTTTGAGAACATTAACGTGAAAGGAGCCTCGTTGATGTCATTTCTATGTGAGAGTAAGAACGCACAGGCAACGACAAAAAGCTTTCACAATGAATATGTATCTTTATTAAATGAAGCCCCGAACATGCATGTAATGATTATTTTTAAAGTTAGACAATGTAATATCGATTTATTACATTTTAATAACTTTTGTGGTTTTACATTATATTGATAAAACATTTACGACCTGTAACATATGTTTGGTATTGACGTTTTGATTCGATACCCACATAATAACTATATTAATTAAATAAAATGTTTGAGGGGTTCAATATTTCAGTAGCGGCTCAATTACGTACTGGGTGTTTATGGTTAAATAACTGAAATATTGATCCATGTAGTATTGCTTTGAGGCGCCACACAATACACACAATACACACTTGATATCTCATCATAGCGGAGCGGAGTATTGCTTCCCACGTGATCCTGACGGTCTCATGATGCGACACATGTTTCCTGGAAGAATTCATGTTTAACAATTGGGTTCAACTTTCATTAAAAGAGTTACGTGTTTAATACTAAATAGATTGACAAAGAGGTGCACGGCGTGACGTCCTTAAGCTTCCAGCATCCGGTGGTATAAATATCAAATTCGCTCTCTTAATGTTAGGGCTTTCCTTCCAGAGGTATAACGGAAATATTGATCAAAGGCGTTAAACCCAACTCACTCACTGTGAAATGTCGTAACGTGTAACGCATGGCGCTACAACTGGCATATTCTGTCTCACAGTCCCTAAACCCTATTATTTTCCCTTCAGCCCAGCCCTTACTGTAATGCTATAGCCCCAAATGAAACAAATCACAGGTCTCCGATCTCACCGGGGCTCCTTTTAAATTTTAATGGAGTTTATTTCTATCAAAAATGTATAATTTCAGAGACAGCATTACAACTGTCCCTACTACCATACTTTACCTACCATAGGCTTGCGATAATCGTAACCGATCGCGATTTGTGAATCGAGGCCCAATAACAGACGGCATCATATTAAAGGGACGTAACTATTGTTTTTGTCAAAGAGTGTTTTATCCCTGGTTGGTACAGTGATTTAGTCAAAGCGAGTGAAAGTAACATTGTCTTAATTCAGTCCACAGTAAAACTACGATTTGTTGGGCGACGGCGCGAAAATGAATCACAACGGTAATTTAAACCTATAACAGCATAAAGTTACATGCACGCCATTGTTGTGCCCCAATAATTGTTGTTAAGTCACACGTCTTTAACAAATACTTGGCCCAGTTTCATGGTTAGTTAAAACCATAAACGTCACGCATTTGGTCCTGATTATGTACCTCTGATTGTAGTGTGTTGTCTCGCTGGAATAGGCCTTTGTTATCTAATACCTTCAGCGTTAAATTAACTACACCCCTACAGCAAGCTCTTTCACAAACTGACAAACCTGTGAAGATTTAATTACACCCTCCATGTTGACATCCGATAACAATGTCTGTGATTAGTTGGACATACATATTTAGTGTTATCTCCAACGGACGGGTTCGGTTAGGGGATAATTCGGCGTGTAATCCCATCTACCCGAGTGTCCGGCAGTAATCCCTTGTCGAGATGACCAAGGGAGCAGTAAGAACCCACAGAAGCCTCGGGCTGTTTCCGAGCACCAATAGATTCGACCTATCAGCGGCCCGTTAATTGACTGTTTCTTGTTTCGGTCCATTCGCAGTTATCTCCCTTCGCCAACGACATGCTTCGTTTGGTTGTAGTTTAAAGGTCACCTTATTTGTGTTTATAGAGTAGGTCGAAGCAGAGACCATATATGGGACTCGTATTGCAAACAGACTGTTAAGGATATTGAACAAAAGGAATATGTTGTACCATTAGAATTAATTTTGACTTGTTAATGTTCAGCTCTTGAAATACATGTTGCTTTTTGGGGTTTCATAAGGACAGTGCCTCTTTGGTAATTCCTGCAATGTAAAATGGATGTCTGTGATTGGCACTTTGAAGTTAGTTGAACATTACGACATTAACCTTTCCATGGAAAACAAATCCATATTGCTTGTCTCGACGCTTCAAAGCCATTACTGTACCATTAAAATATATTGTTTTAAATGTGTTCGCATTACGAAAGGACGCAAATCTCTTTAAAACAAAACCATCGTCAACAAATTCTAGGGGAGGTCGGGTAGCCTAGTGGTTAAAGTGTTCGCACGTGACGCCGAAGACCCGGGTTCGATACCCGACATGGGTACAATGTGTGAAGCCCATTTCTG